TTTTTCTTTTTTGTGGAGAAACAGAATCTTGGCCTGCCCATGGACGCTGCTGGGGAGTCAAAGTCCGTTGTTCCCCTCGGCCCCCTCGCCCCCCAAATTTCTTTCTCATGTCCACACAGGGACGAGATGGAATCGTTCTGTGAGGGTGTGTTTTGTGGGAGTGGGTGTGCGTGTGTGTGTGGGTGTGGGTGTGGGTGTGTGTGTGTGTGGGTGTGGGTGTGTGGGTGTGGGTGTGTGTGTGTGTGGGTGGGGACCTCGCATGTCAACCCTAACACACACACACACACACACACACACACACACACACACACACACTTGCACGCACGCACATACACACAGGAGTATGCTGGCAGGGACTTCTCCTCCGTGTTCAAGATGCTGTCTGGTGAAGGCCTGAGCAAGGACAACTGATCCAGCACACACACGCATGCAGTGCCTTTTGTCTCTCTCGCTTCCCCACAAATACAACGAAAGCGCCTGCACACTGCACTCGATAAGCCAAGCCAACCCAGCCAGTTCCTCTCCACCTCAAGTTTTTCTGTGTTGTGTTGTGACATGATGTGATGTGATGACTGTTTCTTCAACAAGTTGGTGAGTTGTTGTTTTGGTTTACTGAGCAAAAGCATCACACGTCTCCTGAACAGCAGGAACTTGAAACTTGTGCGAAGCTTACACACTCATTCAACGCAGTGGTTTGTTGAAGGGGGTTCGTTAAGGGGTAACACAATTAGTAAAGATAGGGCACGCGAGTACAGCAACGAGTGTGCGATTGATAGCAGACACCGCATGACACACAGCAAGAGTACAAGCATTGCGCCGCCATGTGTTTGCCTGCTTAGAAGCACTTGCGGTGGACAATCGAGGGGCCAGACTCGTCGTACTCGGCCTTGGAGATCCACATCTGCTGGAAGGTGGAGAGGGAGGCGAGGATGGAGCCGCCAATCCAGACAGAGTACTTGCGCTCGGGAGGAGCAATGATCTTGATCTTCATGGTGGATGGGGCGAGGGCGGTGATCTCCTTCTGCATGCGGTCGGCAATGCCGGGGAACATGGTGGTACCGCCAGAGAGGACAGTGTTGGCGTAGAGGTCCTTACGGATGTCGACGTCGCACTTCATGATCGAGTTGTAGGTGTGCTCGTGGATGCCGGTGGCCTCCAGACCAAGGAAGGATGGCTGGAAGAGGGCCTCGGGGCAGCGGAAGCGCTCGTTGCCAATGGTGATGACCTGGCCATCGGGGAGCTCGTAGCTCTTCTCCAGGCTGGAGGAGGAGGCGGCGGTGGCCATCTCCTGCTCAAAGTCGAGGGCGACGTAGGAGAGCTTCTCCTTGATGTCACGCACAATCTCGCGCTCGGCGGTGGTGGTGAAGGAGTAACCGCGCTCGGTGAGGATCTTCATCATGTAGTCGGTGAGATCGCGGCCGGCAAGGTCGAGACGCAGGATGGCGTGGGGAAGGGCGTAACCCTCGTAGATGGGGACGGTGTGGGTGACACCATCGCCAGAGTCGAGGACGATACCCGTGGTACGGCCAGAGGCGTACAGGGAGAGCACAGCCTGGATGGCGACGTACATGGCGGGGGTGTTGAACGTCTCGAACATGATCTGGGTCATCTTCTCACGGTTGGCCTTGGGGTTGAGGGGGGCCTCGGTGAGGAGGACGGGGTGCTCCTCGGGCGCAACGCGGAGCTCGTTGTAGAAGGTGTGGTGCCAGATCTTCTCCATGTCGTCCCAGTTGGTCACAATACCGTGCTCAATGGGGTACTTGAGCGTGAGGATACCACGCTTGCTCTGGGCCTCGTCGCCGACGTACGAGTCCTTCTGGCCCATGCCGACCATCACGCCCTGGTGGCGGGGACGGCCAACAATGGAGGGGAAGACGGCGCGGGGAGCGTCGTCACCGGCGAAGCCGGCCTTGCACATGCCGGAGCCGTTGTCAACAACGAGAGCAGCAACATCCTCGTCACCCATGGCTGGTTGTTTTGTGGTTGTTGTAGGGAGTGTTGAAAGAGCGGGGAGCTGGCTGACTTGCTGGTTCAGTGGTCGTTCAAAAGTGCAGTCGAGATAAATGGCTCAAGCAGTCGCTCGTTTGTCAGACAAAACAACAACAACAACAACAACAACACCCCACTGCACTGCGCACTGCCAGCAAAAGGCACAGGCAAAGAAGAAGGTTCACCAGGGAAGCTTTGTGGCTGGTTGTGTGGCTTGTCTGGCTTATTTTTGGTGCGACAACAACACAGCCAGCACACAAAAAAAAAGGCTGGGCGTCCCACAGTTGCGACAACTCACACGGACATTCTGCAACGGAAATGCCCCCTGAGAAAGCATTCGGGAAAGTGGGCGGTGCCACGAAGCCACACAACCCAGAGCAAACGAAGCGGGTGGCGAACAGAGGTTCCCAAATCGGGAAACCTGTGATGGCATGCAACACGTCAAACATGACAGGTGCAAGCCGTTTGGATGGATGGCATTGGAGCCGCCACAATTTCGAACTGGGTGGTTGATTTGAAGCAGCGTGCTGCTGAGTTTGATGATGAAATGATGACGTGAGCACGCAGACGCTACATAGGACGCTTGGGCTTCTGGGCTTGCTGCCTGCCGGAAGGACTTTGTCGTGTGTGTTCTGTTGCTTGTTTGTGTTGTTTGCTTTGCAGGAGTAGGAAAGACTCCGAGAAGCACATGAATTACAAGGTACACAGAGCGGAAGAAACGCTCTTGTTGGTTCTAAGTGTGTGCGGGTTGAATGTAATCAAAGTGCAACAAACGAACGGGTCTCAAACAAGATGTCACTGCTGTGCTGCTGTGCTCTTGCGGCACTATCACGGCAGCACAACTACCCGAACTCCTTGACCTTTGTGTCACAGGCACAGCAAGAGCAAAATCAACCCAACAAAATAAAAGAAAAGCTGTGATAGTGTTATGTGCAGACAATTCCAAGTACCGGAAACGCTCAACCAAGAACTACAGCTTGTTTCGATCGAGGAGCATACGCCTGCCCTTACGCCAAGAGCGCTGTCGATTCGAGAGGCAGCAGCGTTCTAGCCAGCGTTCCAACACCAAAGAGGCAGAGAACGAGAGAAGGAGAGAACGAGAGAACGAGAGAAAAAAAAAAAAAAGTGCCGCGGTTGTAACGGTCGTGGCGGTCCTGTGAGCGCGAGCAACAGCAGCCACCACCACCACCGACGGCGGCCACTGCGGCCGCGCCATGGACGCAGCCATGCGTGGCAAGCGCCACGGCAGCGACGAGACCGAGGACAGCGGTGGAAACGACGGCCCACCCAGCAGGAAGGCCGCCCACCACGACTCCCCGTGGCGTCACCGCCTCCGGCCTAACCGCCAGAGCCGATCGCCCCCGCTCACGCAACGCCCCCAAGCCGCACCCCGCTCGCCGTCAGCCTCCCCCGCCCGCACAGAGCACCCGGCAACCACCGGACACCCCCCGCCCGCGCCCGGCGACGGCCACGACGAACGAGGTAACGAAAACACGCCACAGGACACGCCCGGTCCTGCGTCGCGTGCATCCCCTACCCCACCGCCGCGCAGCCGCCAGGCCGACATCTCCAGAGGACGGGACAAGCAGCCCCGCCCCAGATCCGCCTCAACAGGACGCCGCACCGTGCGCACTCGCCGGCATCATACTGCCGAGCCCAGCCGCACCGCGCAGCCCCACATCGATACCACGAGCCCCCGCGCTCCCCAGGACCAGCAGGTGCGAACCGCCACCCCGTTCCCATCCCAGGCACGTGACGCTTCTTCCCCCACCGCTTCTCCTGCCATCCCCCCTGGCCACCCCAGCCAGACCGAGGGCCCAGCCCCTGCCGCAGCGCCCCCCTCGCCGCCCCGGCCGGCCTCAAATGAGGACGCGCCATCAGCCCCTGCGGGCTCACCGCCATCGCCTCCCCAAGCAGGCACTCCCATCCTCTTCGAGGGACCTACCCATCGCGACACCACCCCCGACCTGCCCGCGCACGCCGCGGCCGACCGCACCACCGCCGGCATCGACGACGACCCCGACACGCAACTGCACGACGTGTTCGCGGTCCACGAGTGCTGCCGGACGCCGGGCTGCTGGGTCAGTACCCACCAGCCCGTCTCACTCACGCCGGAGCAACTCGCGCCACGCCAGCCACTCCCGCGCTTCCCCTGCCCTTTCGAGCGGTGCCGCAAGCACCAACACTCGACAGACACCGAAAACAGACGCTTCGACCTCACCAAGCTGGCTCAGCACTTCCGTTCCCAACATGCAGACGACCTGTCCCCAGGTCTCGCGGAAGCCTTCGGACTCACATACTGCACCAGCTGCTCGGGGCACATCTTCTCGCCGCGCCACAGATGCAACAATCGGGCACACACCCCCGAGGCCGGCACTGATGCTGACGCCCATGACCTCCCCATCCTCCAGCCCTCCGACGGCCAGTGGACCCGAGATCTCAAGGGCATCGAAGCGGACCTCGTCGAGCGCGTGCGAAACAAGGACGACAGCGATATCTTCCACTGCTACCGCACCGCCCAGAAGATCCCCAACCATCCCCTCGCGTATCGAGCCTTACGGATCGCATCCAACATGATCGTAGAAGCCGAAAGCGACCCCAACAAGCGGAAGCGACACAATGACTACGTCCTGGGTGCCTTCCACCTACTGCAGCTCATTTTCGCCAGGGACAAGGCACACTACATCCGGAACAACACACTACACGCCCGGATGTGCCTCCTCGCGTCGCGCAACTGGGACCGCCTGGAGGCACGAGCCACGATCCGGATGCGGTCGCCGCGCACCGACGAGGAAGGACGCGCCGGCAAGGCCCGCCAACACCTCGCAGCGGGGAACATCTCCAACGCATACCGCACCCTCGCAGATGACTCCACGATGGCGCAGTGGACACCCGACACCCTCGCCAAAACCAAGGACAAGATCCGCACCGACGACGAAGAACCCTTGGGGGCCATCGACAACGTCCTCGACGACAGGGACCAGGTGTTCCAGCTCGAGGACTCCAACATCAAGGACGCCATCGCCTCCATCAAGACCAGCTCCTCGGTCGGCGCGACAGGCATCTCGCCCCACCTGCTGCGCATGCTGTCCGACAGCGGCAGTGGCAACGGTGCGGTCGCCCTGATCAACATGCTCTTCCGCGGAGACCTGCCCCACATCACCCCGCACCTCATGGGCGGCAGACTCATCGTCCTCAACAAGAAAGACGGCGGCATCCGCCCTATCGTGCCCATGGACACCGTCGCAAAGGCATTGGAAAAGGCCGCGTTCCTCAAGACCAAAGGAGCAGTCGTCGACTTCCTATGCCCGCGCCAACTGGGCGTCGGGGTTCCCGGCGGCACCGAACTCATCGTCCACGGCATCCGAGAACACCTGCGCCGCAACCGGCAGGACGTCACCCAGAGCCTCGACATCTCCAACGCCTTCGGGTCCATCAGCCGCCAGGCTATCCTGGACACGCTGGTGACGGAATTCCCGGTCCTGGCTCGGTGCTTCCACTCCACGTACGCAACAGCCCCGCGGCTTGTGCTACCTAACGGCGACCACCTGCACATGACCGACGGCGTCGCGCAAGGCGGGCCGCTGTCCCCTGCGTACTTCGCCATTGCCATGCACGGCGCCCTGCGGAAGGCCGCAGGTGAAGGCGAGCGCGAGACCAACGGTCGAGGCGAAGACGATAATGAGGGCGAAAGCGCGGCCGAACAACGCAACACGTGCGTGGTAGTGGCCTACCTCGACGACGTGTATATCGCCGGGCCCCAGGAGAGCGTCGAACGGACGGCTGCCCGCTTCGCCAGGCACGCGCTCGACGTCGGACTCAAGGTCAACGCTACCAAGACAACAACAATCAAGTACGGCGACCAAACCGCCTCCGTCCTTGGGGCCCCCCTCTTCAGCGCCGCCCCCGTCGACAGGGTCGACCACGCTGCAGCCACCATTGACAAGGCCTTCCGCCACCTACCCCTGCAGTGCATCCTCATCCTCCTGAGGTACTGCGTAGTGGCTAAGGAGAACTACACGATGCGCACCACCGCGCAATGCACCCAGGCGTGCCGCAAGCTCGACGAGCTCATCGCCCTGTCCCTGGCCAGGATGTTGGGGCACACGAACCCGCTTAAGGATGAGTCGCTTCAACGCTGCCTGCGGCCCTATCAACGCGGCGGGCTCGCCCTCCGGTCCCAGGAGTCGGCCGCCCCCGCCGCCTTTCTCGGCGCCATACGCGACTTCTTCAACAGCACGCGACACCCCTTTGAGTGCGGCCTCCCCAGCAACACGCTTAGGACCGAGATGTCGGCGGCACTGACGCGGCTCGCGTGCACGACGCGCGACAAGGAACAGGGCGGCGTCACCACGATTGATGAGGTCCTCAAAGCCGGGAGAAAGCTCCAGCGCACCCTGACCAGGATCCTGGATGAACGCACCCCCTACAGCCACAAGCGCACCGTCCGCGCCTTCCAGCTCAGCGCAGGCGGCCCCGGGTCCTTCCACTGGCTCACCGCGATGCCCAGCTGCCCAAAACTCACCCTCAACGACGCACAGTTCAGAACATCCCTCAGTGCGCGTATCCGAGTCCCGGCGGCTGGGTACCACCCTCGCGCCTCGTGCAGGGCATGCCACAAGCCGACGGAGAGCGCGTTCCACCAGGAAAGCTGCCAATCCATCCGCAAAAGGCGACACGATCGTCTCAACGGCGACATCGCCGCCTTCCTCCGCAACAGCGGCCTCTCGGCCGTATGCGAGGTGGGAGACTACGTGGACGGTGGACAGCAACGCCTGGACATCGACTGCGTCCTTCCGGACGGCACCGCCGTCGCGACCGACCTCACTATCATTAAAGTTTTACATCAAAAAAAAAAAACAGACATTAGTTAGTTAGCTCTTGTGCAGCGACATACGACTGGACTACATATGATCCAACCGGCCCATTTATATGACACAACACACCCACGTTGACCACACAAAGAAGCAAACACACACGCGTACCCGTACCTGCTGAGTTGCGTGCGAGCATGAGCGCGCTGTATGACACGGCTGCAGGGGTGCTGGAGCGGGTGCGCCAGCACAAGGGAACCATCAAGACGTTGTGTCTGGAAGCAGAGTACAAGCAAAAGAAGAAGCTCCTCGCCCTCGTGTGCCAAACATTGAAATGTGCGTGCGTAATGGGATGAATGCAGGCCTCGAACAGTGAGCGGTCATTAAAGTTTTACATCAAAAAAAAAAACAGACATTAGTTAGTTAGCTCTTGTGCAGCGACATACGACTGGACTACATATGATCCAACCGGCCCATTTATATGACACAACACACCCACGTTGACCACACAAAGAAGCAAACACACACGCGTACCCGTACCTGCTGAGTTGCGTGCGAGCATGAGCGCGCTGTATGACACGGCTGCAGGGGTGCTGGAGCGGGTGCGCCAGCACAAGGGAACCATCAAGACGTTGTGTCTGGAAGCAGAGTACAAGCAAAAGAAGAAGCTCCTCGCCCTCGTGTGCCAAACATTGAAATGTGCGTGCGTAATGGGATGAATGAAGGATGTTCTATGTTGAGCTGCGCATGCTTCTTGTGATGTGAGTGCGTTGTAAGCCATATGCGCGTGTATGTGTGCGTGTGTGCGCGTGTGCGCGCGCGTGTAAGCTGTGAGCGCCGGTATGTGTGCATGTGTGCGTGTGCGCGCGTGTGTGTCAGCTGTGAGCGCCGGTGTCGTGCGAGGTGCAATTCTTCTTCAGCATCAGCAACCGCAACAATGATACGATGTCATCTCGCCTTTGTTGACCTGCTCTGTTGCAGACCAGCGTGCCGTCGATGCTATCATCGCCAAGGCACAATTGCTTGAGAAGGAGCCAACGGTGCGCGCACCCAAAACACACACACACACACACACACAGACACACACAGACACACACACACAGACACACAGACGCACACATTCACGCACACACACAGACACACAGACACACAGACACAGACACACGTACACATACGCACATGTATTTGCACACTGGCTTTGCTCTTACACCGTCATGACAACCCCTTCTCGCATTGCAACGCGTTGCACTCGCCACTCACACGTCTATCCACACACCCACACACAGCTGTCAAAGGAGCTGGCGCGTGTGCTGTGTCATGATCTCCTTATTGGTGGTGTGCTGCGGTGCACAGGGAGCCTGTACGAAGCCATCATGAGACACAAGGTACGCTGGGCATGATTGCCACTGGATTGTCACTGGTACTTGACCACGCAACACTGCGCGCATTTTTATGCGTGGCTTTTGACAGCCCGCACTGTGGATGATCTCCACGCCATCCTCTTATCCTTGGTGCCGTTGCCGCCTTTGTCGATGCGGTGGCTGCTCTTGCAACCGCTTGTATGCTGAGCAGGACGAGCTTCAGACCGCATTAGCCGACTTGATGGCAGAGCGCGGCGTCGATACAGCGAGCGCTCTAGCAGAAGACACCCTGGCCGGTACGCATGCCAACCTTTTCTCTGCCTGCTCCGCCCATGTCACCAGCGAACCGCCATGATTGCGATCGCAGCACACATACACATGGCGACCGAAACACCCGCGAAGCTACACCCAAAACGACAACACACGACAACACACACACACACAACGACAACACACACACACACACACACACACACACACACACACACACACGACAACACACACACACACAACGACACACACACACACACACACACACATCCGTTCTGTCTTCACACGCCCCCCTTCTGTCCCTCTTTTTCATTGCTGCGACCTCAACAGAGTCAATGCCACGCTACGCGCGCGTAAACCCGCTGAAGCAGCCAGAAGCAGCCACCCTCACAGCGCTGGAGGAAACAGGGTTCCAGCTGCAGCAGCTGCACGCCGCGGGCCCAAAGTCCACAACAACGCTGGAGTCGCGACAGCACTACTTCAAGGACACGCACCTGGACAACCTTCTCGGCTTTCACCCAAGGGTGCGTTGAGGCAGCGATCGGTGATCCCAAGAGTAGCAGGGCGGGTGTGGAACGGTGGAGGTGATGGAAGGTGACGAGTTAGGGTGCGCTGGTGTGTATTCGTGCGCGTGCGTGTGCGTGTGTATGCGTGTGTGTGTATGCGTGTGCGTGTGTATGCGTGTGCGCGTGCGTGCGTGTGCGCGTGTGTGCGTGTGGGTGTGGGTGTTTGTATCGTTTGTATCGTTGCGCGTGTGTGCGTGTATGCCCAGCTGCATGTTCACGCCACATGCTTGAATGAGCGCACACCCGTGATATTTACGCTTGCGCTGTGCTACGCCCAAACGACGCAGCAGCCTGCCGTCTCATGTGTCGTGCCACACATCATGCATGTTGCTCACACGACTGCGCGCCGAAACCACAACATGCCCGCAGACGGACTTCCACACGCACTGGCTGTACCGTCGCGGCCACCTCATCCTGCAGGACAAGGCAAGCTGTTTCCCCGCAGCCATTCTGGCGCCACCACCGGGCTCTGTCTGCATCGACGCGTGCGCTGCGCCCGGCAACAAGACCTCACACCTCGCTGCCCTCATGCACAACAAGGGCACCGTCTTCGCCTTTGACATCAGCAGGCGCCGCATGGGAGGTGTGTGTGCGTGTGCGTGTGCATGCGTGTGCATGTGCATGTGCGTGCATGTGCGTGTGTGTGCCTGTGTGCGTGTGTATGCGTGCATGGATGGATGGGTGTGACATATATCTTTAACAGCCCAACGCAACACGTGCACAACACCTCCACACGTGCACTGCTAGTCGATCTCACCAACCGCCGCCACTTGTCCCCTCTGCCTATCTTCAAACTTTCCCTGTCCATCCGCCTGTGCCACCGCTTTTGACAGTGATGCGTCGCCAGCTCAAGCTTGCAGGCGTCACGTGCGTCAAGACAATGCTCAAAAGCTTCCTCGACACAGACCCCACGCATCCAAAGTTCAGAGATGTCAAATACATCCTTTGCGACCCTTCGGTGCGTGCGCACATTGCCCATGCGCGCCTGTGGATGTGTGTGTGTGTGCGTGCATGTGTGCGAGTTGTGTGTGCGTGCGTGCGTGCACGTATGTGTGTGCATATTACATTCACAAGTCTGTGCGCTAGGCCGTTCTCATTTGCCTCGACCGTGTTTGTGCCCGCCCCCCTCTTTTCCCGCCCACCATGTGCCTCCATGCCAACATCTGCGCATGCAGTGCTCTGGCTCTGGCATTGTGAGCCGGCTGAGCGATCTGGTGGACGTCAGCGATGCCGGCGAGCCGCAGACGCAGGAGGAGAAGCAGCAGGAGCGGCTCAAGGCGCTGGTACGTCACGCGCGCGCGTGTGTGTGCTTCTGTGCTTGCGCTATTGTGCTTGCGCTATTGTGCTTGCGCTATTGTGTTTGCGTGTGTGTGTGCGTGTGTGTGCGCGTGTGCGCGCGCGTGTGTGTGTGCGTGTGTGTTTGTGCGTGTGTGCGCGTGTGTGTGCGTGTGTGTGTGTGTGTTTGTGCGTGTGCGCGCGTGTGTGTTTGTGTGTGTGTGTGTCAATGCACGTACGTACTCTTGCACATTTTCGTGTGTGCGTGACAACCCACATCACCTGTGTGGCAACTTCCATCATCTGATATGTGACCTCTTGTATCCCTGCGCCCATTTGCCATTCTCACCCTCTTCTCGGTACCACACACTTGCTTTCACGCAGGCCGAGTTCCAGGTGCAGGTTGTGAACCATGCCCTCTCCTTTCCAAACGTGGAGCGCGTCACCTACAGCACATGCTCCGTACATCAGGTTGGTTGTTGTGCGGGTGATGGGAGGAGGGGAACACATGTGTGGCGTGGCATTCTATCGTGCCCGTTCGTGTGCTGGCCGCTGCTGCGTCCTGCTGAGTGCTCATGCATGCCCTGTGTATGTTTCGCTGCCTGGTGCTTGTGGCACACGCCGAGCAGGAGGAGAACGAGGATGTTGTCGCTGCAGTGCTGGCTGCCAATCCGTCCTTTGAACTTGCTGAAGCGCTGCCATCATGGCATCGTCGTGGCCACAGTGACACGTTGCCATCAGGTGTGCATTGGCGGGGATTAGCACAGGCATTTCAGTGTGCAGGGCTACTGCTGTTGCTGCTGCTGCCGCTGCTCTTTTGCTGTGTCAACGTGGCGGCTGTTTTGCTGTGTCAACGTGGCGGCTGTTTTGTTCATGTGCTGTTTTCCGCCATGCCACTGCATGTGCTTGCGTTTCAATTGTTGACTGCCTTTCCGCACCCCCTCCTGCATTCTCTACCCTTCACACACACACCCACACACACACACACACACACACACACACACACACACACACACACACACACACACACACACACACACACACACACACACACACCCACCACACACCCATATTCACACTTCCCTCCTCTGTCACTCCTTTTCACCCAACACTCACCACTCCCTCCTGCTACAACCTGCCTCATGGCATCCTTTGTCGCTGTGCAGCGGCCATGTGCGTGCGCACGGATCCTGCGCAGGACTTCACAAACGGATTCTTCGTTGCTCTGTTTGTTCGCAAGCCTGGGGCGCCGCGACCACAGTCTCAGAAGCAGCGCACCTCCAAGCGCAACAGCAGCACCAGCAAGGCGTCAGCCAGCGGTGATCGCGGCAGTGGCCGGGGTGAAGGCACCACAACAAAGCGCGCCAAGAGCGCAGCGCCACAAGCCCCGCTTGTGCCTCGTCAGCGCCCGTCCATGAAACAGCGGCAGAAGCGCAGCAAGGCCCGCCTTCGCTCCGTGGTCACACCCTCCCACTGACGCTCCTGCTTTGCGCGTGTGTGAGTGAGTGTGCATGTGTGCATGTGCGTGTGCATGTATGTGTCTGATTGTGTGTGTGTGTGCGTGTGTGTGATTGTGTGTTGGCTGTGTGCGAATGTGTGTGAATGTGTGTTGGCTGTGTGCGATTGTGTGACACGTTTGTGTGTGATGTGTGGCATGTGACATGATGTGACATTGTGACATGTGACGACCTCTCTTCCACTTCTCAACAACATCGCGACCAACAAAGTGTGCTATTTTATGGACATTTTTGCATAAAATTCGGCAACCTTGATGGGAGGGAAGACTGACCTGCTACTCACTCTCAATAACAACGTCCTCTCCCACCAACCAATCAATCAACCGACCAGCACGCACCGCACTGCTTGTTGTCTTGCTTCTTGGTGGTTGGCTTCCTCCTTCGGCTCGCCAGCTTGGTGGCGGCAACGGGCACAGGGTGCTCCTGTCCAAGGGGGATGGCAAAACAAAAGATGCCGCGGTGCGGTCCTTTGTCATCATTGTTGTTGTTGGACACCACAGCGCCAGTGGTTGTGATGTTGTTGCTTCTTGTGCCGCTGATGTCGCTTGGGTTGTCCTCAACGCTGTGCAGTGCCAGCGGTAGCGAACATGGCGACTCCCCGCCCGTTCTTCAGGTGCTGTGGTGCTGTGCTGTTTGTTGTGGCGTGTAGTGTGTTTGTGCTGTGCTGTGGTGTGTGCTGTGCTGTTTGTTGTGGCGTGTAGTGTGTTTGTGCTGTGGTGTGGTGTGCTGTTTGTTGTGGCGTGTGTTCTATGTGTTGTGTGTTGTCTGTGCCATGCCGTGTTTGACCTCGTTGGCATGGCTGTGGCTTGTCTCGTGCATGTCTTGTGTAGCTTGCTTGCTTGGGACGGCCTTTGTGGCTGTGTGTGGCTGTGTGTGCATGTGTGGTCTCAAAGCCACACAACAACAACCCTCCACCCTCCGCGGCTGCAACACCTCACAAGTACGCGTGGTTGTTGTGTTGATCAACAGACCGTCGTCACTGCGCTCGAGCAAGTCACTGCCGACATTAGTCTACTGGAAACGCGAGGTGCTGTGGCTACTTTGGTGGTGTTGACTTTTTTGATGTGTTGGGGAACGATGCCTTTTGCCCGCCACACCATCTGCCCTTTCACACGAAAGCCTCGCATTTGTGTGTGTGTGTGTGTTTGTGTTTTTGTGTGTGTTTGTGTGTGTGTACATGTGTGTGTGTGTTTGTGTACATATGTGTATGTGTTTGTGCACATGTGTGTGTTTGTTTGTGCACATGTGTGTGTGTTTGTGTGTACGCACGTGTGTGTTTGTGTGTTTGCGTGTTTAGTGCAAGAGGAGAACAGGCACTGCTTATGGTGGCCAATTGATGCAGCCCAGGCGATAATTCGGGTGCGCAAGCACGGCGTGTGTTGTGTGTGTTGTGTGTGTGTGCGTGCGTGCGTGTGCGCGCGTGTGTGTGCATGTTTACCGTCGATGTCTTGCCAGTACGGTGTGTGTGCGTGCGGCGCTGATGAAACGGTTCAATCAGCTGCCGATGCTCCTTGCACCAAGGTTGCTTTTCTCTCTCACGACACGTCTTTCACACTCACATGCACACACACGCACACACATGCACACACATGCACACACGATACGTGGTAGATACGCTGCCTTTTCCCAAAGCAGGAGGCCAAGTCGAGGATACGGCTGGTCCTGCTGTCGGACAACTGGCGCCTGATACCGTGGATGTGGGACGTGGAGCTGGGCAGCCTGCGGTGCCGGTATTTCCAGCGCAAGCAGCGGCCGTCCTTGGTCATGGCCAACGTGCGCAACGAACTGCATGACGAGGAGCAGACCCTCATCTCCTGCAGTCTGGACTCAATTCAAAGCGTTGGTCCCATTGCCTTGAACATTACAGCCATCTTCCCTTCATACCCAAAATCAGGTGTGTGCGTGTGTAGGTGTGGCTGTACTTGTGTGGTTGTGTTTGTGTGGGTGGGTTTATGTGAGTAGGTGGGTTTGTGTGGGTGTGTTTGTGTGTTTGTGTGTGTGTGTGTGTGTGTGGTTGTGTGCGAACTTGCACGTGGACATGCGTGTGTTTGTGAACTTTTGCGCGCACACCTATATCGTGCACTTGGGCGTATGCGTTTTGCGTGCGCACATAACGCGCAGTTGCGCATGTATGTGATGCGCCACACTTGTACCTGCTGTACAGCCTTGTTTACCTGTTCCAGCAAGTGCACACGCGCTTTGCTGGATACTTTGTTTGTCACCCACCGATTCCACCCACCACCACCGTCACCACCAATTCCATCCACCAACCCAACCACCCTTGCATGCCTGTGTGCAGTGCCAGAGTGGCAGTCGTCCTTGTCTATTGTTATCCAGGAGGACCTGTACTCGCTATGAGGGAGACCCATCAGGCACCTGTGACCCTTCATTCAGACTGCCGCGTGTGGCATTGTGACGTGGAGGTGGAGGAAGAGGAGGAAGAGGAGGAAGAGGAGGAAGGGGAAGGGCATGGTGTTACCACGAGATTGCCTGTGAGATTGTCCACCAGCACGACACACACACGCACACATACCTTTTCACAGCTGTTTGTGGTTACGCGTAACACGTTATCTGCGTGTTGCACCAACAAGTGACACCTGCATCATGTCATGTACATACAACGCAAACACACACGCAAACACACACACACACAGACACACACACACACACAGACACACACACACACACACAGACACACACACACACACACAGACACACACACACACCCCACACACACACACACACCACCCACCCCCACACACACACACACACACACACA